AACTTGGGCAGCCTAGCACGTTGGGGGTGCGGGGCACTGCTAGTGCGCTCGAATAGGCCTCTGAACGTTGGACCTTGGCGCGACGCGCCATGTTTGCGCCTGGTATTGGCGCTTTTCCTTGGCCTTGGCGTGTTGGTTGCGCAGGGCACCCATAAAGGGGTTCTGAACTTTCGCTTCTGCCGTAGTGCGCCTGACCTGCGCCATAACCCAGTTGCCAATGCAGTTGGTTTTCTTCTCTCGTGGTGTGTTCTCAAGCAACCAGCGCATCAACCAAACAACGTAACATCATATTGGTGGCTTGCCTCACACCCAGTGCCTTAGTTTTGGTCGTGGCATGACTCCTCTTTCAGTATTTTTAGTTATAGCTCCTAACTATTACAAAGAAATCAAACTTAACAAGATCCCTAAAAAGAATAAAATTAAAATAAAACTAATTCACTAGATGCTATCAACCCTAAACTAAGCTAGAAATTTAAAAGTAAACAAAACGAACTTCCTATGACATATCTTGCACGGGTTGCCTCCCGTGAAGTGCCAGGTTTAACGTCGTGGCTCGACTCAACTAGGATCATTCATCATTAAACTCAAGAGCCTCCCGATCACGATCTGAATCATCACCAAAGTAGTGTTTAACTCATTGCCCATTTACTAAGAACATCGGGCCATTTTCACCTTTAAGTTCAACGGCACCATGTTGTGTCATCCTTACTACTTTGAAGGGACCACACCATTTTGACCTTAGCTTTCTAGTGAATAACCTTAGTCTTGAGTTAAAAAGTAGTACATTTTCTCCCGAAGTGAAAGTGGGAGGAACTTGTCATGCCACCTTTTTATCTTTTCTTTGTAGAGCTTGGCATTCTCATACACATGGAGCCTAAACTTCTCAAGATCATGTAGTTGATTCATTCACTTTCTTCCTGCCAGCTCGGGGTCAAGATTTAACTTCTTAATAGCCCAATATGCTTGGTGTTCTAATTCAGCCGAAAGATGGCATGCTTTGCCGAACACTATGTGATAAGGAGAAGTCCCTATGGGTGTCTTATATGCAGTTCTATATGCCCATATCGCATTATCCAGCTTCTCAGACCAATCCTTTCTTTGTGCATTTTCCATTTTCTGCAAGATTTGTTTCACCTCTTTATTTGATAATTCCACTTGACCACTTTTTTGAGGATGGTAAACTGTAGCAACCTTATGCCGAATACCATACATAGAAAGAAGATTTTTCACTAGATGGTTAATGAAAT